TTTTTCATGTTCCACAGGTTGTAGAATAAAATATCGATGTACTTTATGTACAGTAAGGGAGGCATTAGCAAAATTTCACCTATAGTAAGTCAATCTAGTCACTAGGAATGTCCTACAACCTTTGTCCTACAACCTTAAGAATAATGATATACTGTACATACATTGAGGAAGATCTTGGCAAAATTTCAACTGTAGAAAGTCAGTCTGGTCACTAGTAACATACTAGTAACATACAACATTTGGAACACGAAAAACCCCATTCTGGTGAATTACTGTGATTTTTATTTTTTTTTATATATTTGTGTAGTGTACATACTTAGGGAAAGTATTGTCTAAGGCGAGTTTATTGGCAATATATATTTAGTCAGTTTGAGTAAATTATTTATTTACTGTAAACATTAATTTGAATAAATTATTGGACTTATTGGGCTCATATTATGGGCTCATCTGCTTAAATGTACATAATATACAGTAATATATTTTATTAATTAGATGCCAAATGTAATCATTTATTGTCATGGTCTTGAGGCAATAAACCACATTAAGTGTTTTGTTTATGGGAACTGTTTAACGTGTTAACATGCAGTTTCGCGCGTTTCGTAACTTGCGTTCATATCCTCATCTGCCTGTATATAGTTTGCATCATCAGTAAGATCTGAGTTTTGTCTTTTAATAGCTGTCATTGTGTTAGTGCACTAAGCCGCATAATGCGTTTTCTTTTACAGATTTCTGAGGGAAACAGCGTGAAACCTTGAGCGTTCATTCATATTCTACATCTGTTTAACTGTCGTTATAGTTCGCATAATCATCAATAAAGTGTATTCTGAGATCTGAGGTCTTTTTTATATCACTGTATTAGTTCACTGAGGCGCGTTACGCGTCGTTGGGAATCCTGGAGTGTGCCGTATGAGGGGGAACCGCAGTATTACAGTGTCACACAAGCCATGATACAAAGTTACGGAAACTAAGCAACCGAAAGCAATATATGTCTTCCTCAGATGTAATGTTAGTTCTGTACTTCAGCGTTGGGTAAAATAACATTATAATCTTCTTGTGGTAGAGAAAGCTGCTTACATGTAAGCTACGGGAACAGCAAGATGTTGAATTAAACATACAGTGGGGCAAAAAAGTATTTAGTCAGCCACCAATTGTGCAAGTTCTCCCAGTCAGCTTTTCCACATGTTTATACTGGGCCTGATTATCATAACTTCTACTTACCGCTCAATGAATGACTTGATCCACCTGTTGGTTTGGTCTTTATCAACGGCTGCTTGCGCCACCTGCTGGTGAGCGACTGACAGCAGCTGGAGATCGTGCATTGGTGCTCTACTGCTATTCCTGCAGCTCTCGGATGTGCAATGGCAAATTTTCTGTCGAATTTTAACCACTGAATTTGTGGAAGCGAATTTGGAAAGTGAAATAAAATTGATCGAAATTTGCCTGTCGAATATTATACATAGCATTTTTAAACAGATTGAATATTTTGGAAGTGAATTCTGGAAGGTGAATATGAATTACTGAATTTTTAATTATGAAAATGTGTGTCAAATATTTTGAATTGAAAAATTCACAGATTAAATAAACAACTATGTTCAATTTCACGACCTAAAAATGCAAATCCTGGAAATACAAGGCATTATAATCAATGTTCCCTCTAATTTTTTTTTCTTGCTGAGCAAAACTTTTCTCTATTGGGCGGACATTTCGGCCACCTGAGCAAAAACATTATTCTTTATACCAGACAAAAAAGTGTGTAACTTTTAACTTTAATATGCTGTTTGTATTTAATTTGACCCATCGTGCATCGGTGCTCTACTGCTATTCCTGCAGCTCCCGGATGTGCAATGGCTAATTTTCTGTCGAATTTTAACCACTGTGGAAGCAAATTTGGAAAGTGAAATAAAATGGACCGAAATTTGCCTGTCGAATATTATACATCGTATTTTTAAAGAGATTGAATATTTTGGAAGTGAATTCTGGAAGGTGAATATGAATTATTGAATTATTGAATTTTTAATTATGAAAACGTGTGAAATATTTTGAATTGAAATATTCACAGCTTAAATAAACAACTATGTTCAATTTCAGGACCTAAAAATGCAAGCCCTGGAAATACAAGGCATTATAATGCAAGCACTGTTAATGCAATGCATTATTTTTTCAGTTAGTGCCATTCAACATGCTTTTTTGTTTCAAAGACATATGGCATTATTTTGCTTCCATAGTATATAATATAGCATGTGGAGTCATGTCTCGTCTTATTAGTTTTTGTTAATAAACGTTATGTAAGCTAGTTTGTCATTATAGCCTACTGTTTTATTGTTGTTGTGCTATTTAATTAAGAATAACAATGAATCAATCTTTTGTTTTAGTCTTAAAAAGTGAAAGGTGTATAGATATAAGCAAAACAGACAATTATCTTTTCTTGTAAATGACACTAAGATCGCGAATTCAAAAGTGAAAGTGAAAGCGTCCAAAGCAAAAGAGGAACTCCAGTTCACAAAACTTAAATCACAAATAATACTGATGAAAATTAACGGGTTGAATGTTGAACACTCGTTACCATATAACTATAAACTATGGTAAAAGTTCATCAGCATGCATTGATTAATCACATGTTGTAGCAAAAAAAAAGCGGCCAAACGATGTGCTCGTGCGACCAACTGAGAAATTTAGTCGCAAAAGAGCGACCAGTGGGAAGAATGAGTCTGAAGCCCTGTATAGCCTAAACACGGCATGTAAGCTATGCGGATGCCACTATCAGTGAACAGGGCAAAAATATGTCAAAATGCATAAGGCTAGAGCACCTTCACTGATTTCAGAAGCACCTCAAGTGATTTGATTCAGGAACCTGGCCTGCCTGTATGGAGATAGATATATATTTTTATATTAGCCTATATATATTTACCCCATATATTAAACTGTAGCGCTCTAACACAATGTAGCCTACTGTACATGCATTGAGCGACCATGCATGGTCCTCTCCGATAACATACCCAGATAGCACACAAAATTATATCCCAATATATCATTTCATGATGATAGATTTACCAGGATTCTGCAATGTTTAATTTAAATATTTGTATTAAGTCTCTGTATTGTTCCAAAGACGGCTCTAGTTCTCATCTGAACGTGCAGGAGAAGCATTACTAAATTTGGCCAAAGAAAACTTGTTAAAATCGACATTTTTCTATATTAATTTGTGAATTTTCAAATGTTTATTAAAAGTGCAAAAATTCATTAACAAAAATCTGAAAAGAAGTAAATATTTTACTTTTTCGGGCAGCATTTTGTGTGTACGGTTCTAATTTCAATTTGGTTTTCAGCATAGCATTTAAAAATACAATAACCGTTCTTGTTTCATTTTTTTTTTGTCATGGTTAAAAAACGAAAAACAAATGGACGCAAAAGTACACGGACCCAGAACAAAACAAAAACAAGTCAAAACGAATTAAAATGCAAAAATGTAAAACAAATGTGAAAAAAAAAAAAATCCAAAATAAAAAGCAGAACAAAATCAACAAAAAATAAATAAAAACACAAAATCAAAAAACAAATCAGAAAAATTCATGACAACGCAAAAAAAATCACTAAACAGCAGAAATAAATGAAAATGCAAATCAAAATCGCAAAACAAATACAAAATTTTATACAAAACAATAATCAAAATAAAAACAAAAATAAATAGCAGAACAAAAAAAACTGAAGAAACAAAACAAATCACACAAAAATAAATGAAAACACAAAATCAAAAAACTAATCAGAAAAATTCATGACAACGCAAAAAAAATCACTAAACAGCAGAAATAAATTAAAATGCAAATCAAAATCGCAAAACAAATAAAAAATAAAATACAAAACAATAATCAAAATAAAAACAAAAATAAATAGCAGAACAAAAAAAACAGAAGAAACAAAACAAATCACACAAAAGTAAAACCCAAAATTACAAAACAAATCAGAAAAAAAGAAACTGAAATAAATCACAAAAAATATGAAAATGAAGACAAAGTAAAAACAATAAAATAAACAAATAGCAGAACACACACACACAAAAGAAAATGAAAATACAAAAGCACAAAACAAATCAGCTATATCTATAGTTCTACAGTAACTATATCTATATCTGCCAAGATTCATCTCTAAATAATACAAAAACTAACGGCTTAGAAAGACCTGTAGTTGTAGGTGAACATGAACATGGGTAGAAACTACCTCTAAGTAAAACAGGACATATAAGTGCAATAGTGATGTTGCACTACTAGTAAAGATCTGCTGACTACAGCAACATATTTCCTGTTCAGCATGGCATCATGGGTGAGATGATAAAGACTGGTGATGGGTAAAGAGCAGAGGAAAGGGCGCACTCACCTCTTGGCTCTTCGGCCTGTTTGGCTAGCTTGCGGAGAGCGGCGGCGAATCCTGAGTGTCCAGACTGGGACGCGGGGCTCCCGTTGGCTACCATTGCTCCGCTGATGGGGGAGGGAGTGAGGGGGCTTACAGTCGCCATGCTGCATGGTGCTGCCGAAATCATGCCTAATGATGGAGACTTTGGTTCATGGCTCATACCTGCAGAGACAGAAAGATGTAGTTTCTGTTCAAAACTGAATTCACAATCACAGAGGAAATGGCTGACATTCAGCCTGTAAACGAGACTCTGTGATATCCTCAGATTTAAAATTGTGTTCAATTCAAATCTATTTTTATCTCCACTCCAAGCGAGTAGAACCGCATGTTTTGATTCGTACAAGCTCTGATTCAAAGATGAAGGAGAGAATGTGTGTCTACTGTAGCCTACTGTATCATATTTCTAAGATCTCTAAATTATCAACATGATCAAAACTTTGCTGAAAAACCTGTTGTACAGAATCTACTACATGCCTTCTATCAACCGATTGATAGTTTATACTTTTTTAGAAAGTATAATTTGGTATAAAGGTAAAAACGTCCACCTTTAGCTCATGGGTCTTTTTGCTGTGAAATCTTTACTGATGAAGTAAACATAAGAATAACTTGTATATTGTCAGTAATATTTCAAGATGAACACTTACTGGACTGAAGCAGCTTGGGTTTACTTGATTATCCATATATCATTTTTTTTTTAGAAAAATTATGTTAAAATGTGAGTATCAAATATGATCACCAGGCTTTTGAGGAACAATTTATTATAAAGGAACTTTTATTTGTTCATCTCGCAATCATCATTGTATTGCTTTGCATTAAACAAATAGCAGAACAGAACAAAAATAAATGAAAACGCAAAAACAAAACTAATCAGAAAAAAACGACATTCAAAACAAAACAATAAAAAGTAAATGAAAACATAAAAATCACAAAACAAATCGGAAAAAAAACGAAAAAACAAAACAGTAAATGTTTTACCCCCACAATAAATATAATGGCTTTGATCATAAAACTAAGCATTTAAATATCATCTTACTAAAACATCATTGTGAGATACAGAGTGACAATTGATATTAATATGCAATTTATGTAAGTAGTTTGTTATACAGTAATAAAGATCTCATTGATTTACATGACAAACATCAGAATTTCATCTTATCTTTTGGCCCTATAAATATCAGCAACTGCAGCAAATTGCATATTTTTGCTCAGTTTGTGACTCCTAGTTGAGCTCCATATTCCCAATATATCAGACTATATGGACCATAAAATCCTGATGTATCAAATATGATACTCAACAAAAAAACGCATACTTTTTATTTACATTTTTTAATTATTTTGTCTAAACTTGCAATAAACTGTTCTTTTAAAAAAAAAAATTATCAGACTATTATTCCATTTGTCTGTTTTACAGGGTTAAAACATAAAGGGGGAGTTTACTAACAATGAATTGCATAAACTGATAACCACATTTATTTGCATATGTTGCTTGCAATGATTTAGCGCCTGATACATTAACTGGTTTGTCTAAAAAACGATCTGCAACCAGAATTCAACTATGACAAGGTCAGACCACCTGTACGAGAATGGTTAATGGTTTTACATTTACATTACATTTTATATTTATTCATTTACCAGATTTATCCAAATTTTATCCAAAGAGGATTACTAAAACAGAAGCGATTCATTTTAAAGTGACAGTAACATTAAAAGTGCTAGGGGAAAAAAAGGTAAAAATTTGGATAGAAAAGTACAAGCTACTTCAGAAATGTAGGCTTAACTAAAAAAATATATATATATATTTTTCATCTTTTTCTTAAAATAAAGGTTTGGAGAGGAGAACATGTTAAGAGACATAAAGGTTAAACATTCCACATGTTAAGTTCCAGATCTGAACTTTGAGTTTTCAACAACTTCCTTCCTTTGTGTATCTCTCTCTCACAGCTCCAGCTATCACTCACTGCCAGCGTTTCTATCAGAAACAAACAAAAGCTTGCTTTATCGTGATAAACTCTGCCTCACCCTTGCCCTTCTGCTGAACCGAGCAAAACAATTAATAATGAACTTAGGGCAGTTAGGAGAGCTGGCAGCAGCATCCTCTGCCATCAGCCACAACTTCATTACGACTTAATGGAGCCTTACGCATCCAAACACGGAGAGTAAGAGAACATAATATGTCCTGTGGTTGAACTGAACAGATTAATCGGATTAATCTTAAATAGCGCTATAATTCAGGCACAATATAACACATAATTTGCAATTTGTTTTCTTTACATATCAGCTGCCAAACAAAAAAATCTGATAAGACTTTTGAACAAAGCAAAGGAAAAAAACAAACAAAAATACAAACAAAACACGACAGAAGATAGAAATAATGCACAGCCTCTAATGGCTTCTGTAGTGAAACAAAAACAAAACGTATGGCCTCTTAGAGCTTTTGTAGTGAACTACAAATAAAATAAAAAACAACAACTAAAATACAACAAAACAACATGCAGAGCTTTTTTCTCAGTGAACAAAAAAATAAAACAAAATTAACAAATCAAAACAAAACATACGGTCTCTTAGAGCTTTTGTAGTGAACTAAACATAAAATATACAAAAAACAAAAACACATAGCTTCTTACAGCTTTCATATTGGACTTAAAAATAAAACAAAGTAAAATAAAACAACATGCATAAAAAATAAAACAAAATGTAAAAAATCAAATGAAGTAAAAGTGTAACAAAACAAAACAAAAACAAATACAACAAATAAATAAATAAATAAATAAAAAAGCAAAAATCAATAAAACAAAACAAAAATTTGACTTCTTTCGTAGTGAACAAAAAATTTAATAAACCAATAAAAAAGTAAAGCACAACAATGTAAAACAAAACAAATTGTGGTTAAACTAATTAAGAATATCTTTAATACACTATGCAAATAGGCTTCATAATAATGTTATAATCCTCACATAATATAGGATAATAAACAAGTGTGGCATATAACTGAAACACTGTTTTCTCCCTGCCATTAAGCAAACCACCATATCCACCACTCTCCAATCCTGTTAAGGGCTTATCAATCAAATCATCATATCATCCGCTCTTGAAACTCCGCTCTCTCCCTTCCACTCATTTGCGTGCTACAAACAGGCCTCTTCTCTTTATCTCCCTCATTCTCTCTCTCTCTTGACAAACATTCTCAATCAATCCGCTACCACCCCCTTCCTCTCATCTCTGCCGCTCACACTTTCCCCTCCTGGATGGTGTCAATCAGAGAGAACAGAGAGTCTCTGGTCGCTGTGGAAATGAGAAAAGCCACAGGTATCTTCCGGCACACACAGCCATTCTGGCAGAGACGGCCCTCTCAACACAGAGTGATTTATAAGCTGTTATGTCAAGGAGTGGGACAGAGATAACATTTATTTCTCTAGGATGCTTTAAAGGACTCATTCAACCAAAAACAACAATTCTGTCATCATTTATTTTGTTATCATGTTGTTCCATATTCTGTGGAACATGAAATGAGATATTTAGCAGAATGTCCAAGCTGCTCTTTTACAGTAAAGTAAATGGGAATTACTGTAGGAATGTCAAGCTATACAAAAACAACATAGCAAAAGTCCAAAAGGACAAGAACATAGTACCATAAGTCACCATGATATTCTATTTGCACACATTAATATCAAAGTATTTATAGAAGCAAATCTGGTTTCCCTAAACGATAATATTGCTCTGACAACAATAAACATTGCTGCTTCACTGAAGTTTTTAGCATGAACTACAACCTTATTAAAAGGAGTTAATTAGTCATCTGGCATGCTCAGTGAAATATTCCACATAATTTCACATCTATGCACTCAGACACACCTTCACCTCAAACTACCGCAGAAAAGAAGCATTTTTTTAATCCCTGATCTAGCAGGATTTACTGTAGTTCTGTGGCTTATTAACCTCACACCTTTGAGTATAGTCACATATACAAACACAAAAAGGATATTGTACAAAAATAATCAGATCTCCAGCTGGCCATGCAGAATGAATGGCCAAATGTTTAAAATGGCTCACTAAAAGCACCCAAGGCTTGCTATGTGAAGATCTCCTCTCTCTCAGAGATGAAATCCTGCTGTGCTGTTTTTCCCAGAGGCTTTAGCTGTGGTTCGAGTCAGCAAAAACAGTCCCACAGTCCTCTGCTCCCCACTGGCTCTCTAATAAGCTTGTTCATTAGACAGTACAGCCAATGCAAATTGACCCAGACCTTGTCGACATGACCGGCTCATGTAAATTCAATGGGAGAAACAGCAGGGATAAAAGACTGAGTGATGGATGATGTGTCAAAGTGCTTTGTTGGCAACAAATGAACACACTCACACACATACATGTCCATAATGATGACAGACAAGCATTGATGCATGGGCGACTACAGAGATCTGCTACCCTCGCATTCATTAAGACTAGATAAAGCACCTCACACACACCTGCCTTCTGCTCATTAATCCCAGTGTGTGTACGTGTTTCACTGACAATATTAAAGATGGATGAGGACTAGAATGGTACTGATACTTCCAGAGTGAAATGCACTAATTGGTTGTGACTACAATAGAGATTGATAACTAGAGAGAACGTTGATCACAAAGCTACTGGTTACAAAGGGCTTGAAGGTTGAAGACCTTACACTGACGTGTAAGTACCGAAACAACCCCACTTGCCATAACTGAAGCCCTTACACTAGGCTTGAATGTCCTTGATTAGTTTTGTATTGATTTTCTGGATCTGTCTGCAGTAATTTACAGTTATCTACAACCTGTTGATCTCAAAGCTGACTTAGCAAATTTAGAAATATATAAATATATGTTATATATAACAGGTCTTCCCAGGTTACCTTGAAAGTCTCACACTGTTCTCCCCACCCCCAAACCACTGGTGTCCCACAAGGTTCGGTAATTAGTCCCTTAAATTTCCTCATTTAGACCAGATCACTCTGTATCACACTCTTAAAAAAAAAAATTCTTTACTGTCATCTGTGGTTCAATTAAGAAACTTTAACCATGGAACCTTTCCATTGCACAAAATATTCTTTATACTCTTAAAAATAAAGGTTTCAAAAGGGAATTTTCGCAGTGATGCTATAGAAGAACCATTTTTCGGGGAACCTAAATTGGTTCTTCTATGGCATCGTT